TAAATCATGCTGCAAAGAAAAGACCACCGACTCCAATTTTAAATCAAATTAAAGAAAGCTTGTAATTCCAGCCAGGACTGTCTCTCCCGAAATCTTTGGGTTAGAGAACAGTACTCCATCTCTCTAGGAACATAGTTTTACAGCACAAAAACTTGCAAATGGGGGTGTCTTGAGAACTTACAGATAACAGGATTTTGACAAGAGTAATACAAAGGCAGATAGTAGGTTAATGATCTAAATGATTCAATATTTCAAGTTAGGGAGTAAATTTAGATCCCAACACCAGAATTTAAGGGATGCTGCTGAGGTTTTAGAGAGGATTATTATCTGGTTAGGGAAAACCAGAATTTATGAGGTGCCACTAAGATTTCAGAGAGGGTTGTCATCTGGTCAGGGAAAGCCATGCATGGTGAGTTCAAGGCACGGGCAGGCATTCCAAGCAAGTTTAGAAATCTCAGTAATTTATAGTAAAACAGAAATTAACTTTTCATGAATTTGTGATGAGATGGCTCCCAATCTTTAGAAGGATTTATGCTGGATTCATCAATGGGTTGAAGCTGGGTTTCATACTGTTGACTACAATATGTTGATAAGACCCATTCTAGTGTGATAACAACTAGCCAAAAGAATCCAGAGCTCCAGTCAGAAGAGAAGATGCAGCTGTAGATAAAATCAGACTTTCTCTTTTATAATTAATGCAACTGGAGGATGGTAAACGCAGTACATTATGGCTCCTTCCCCTTGGTGCTTTCCTGTTGGCAAATAAACTTGAGAGAATGAGTCAATCTTGCTTGGGGAGAAGGTGTCAGCCAGGACTTTGAAACCTGCTGTCCTTATTTAACAGAAGACCAGACTGTACTTTTTGGCACCTTTCTTCCATTGGCTTCCCAAACCAAAACCTCAGTGCCTCTGGTTTTTATAGTTGTGGAGAATAAATGCTCAGGGATCCCAAATAATTTTCCTTTAATGTTTCTTCCCAAATTTAGCTGGTATTTTCCCAGAGGGCACTAATAAGTTTTGAGGGTTCACCACTGAGGACAAATAATAAGGAACATATTTTTGTACAAATGAAAATTTTTTATTTATTTTTATTTTTTGGTACCAGGGATTGAGCCCAGAGGCACTGAACCACTGAGCCATATCCCCAACCATTTCTTTATTTTTCATTTTGAGACAGGGTCTTACAGCCTCACTAAGTTGCTGAGGCTGGCTTCAAACCTGTGATCCTCCTGCCTTAGCCTCTGGGATTACATGCATGCCCCACTGTGCCTGGCTGAGATTAATTTTCAATATAGTGATCCCCCAGTTTACATTGTTGTGTAATGTCTGGCTTCCCTGCCCCACTAGACTGTCAAAGTCCCAGAGGACAACTGGGATTTAACTTTGAATTCCTGAAAGGGAGGCACAGTGCTTTACTCAGGAAATGTTGGTAAAAATTAAACTGGAGAATTTCTTGAAAAAGAGGATGACAAACATTTAGAGGAAGATGATGGCATTCCCCTCTCTGGAGACAGCTTTTGTTTGTTTTTGCAGTGCTAGGGCCTCACAAATCCTAGGCAAGTGCTCTACTACTGAGCTACACCCTCAGCCCAGAGAGAGTCCTTTATTCTTAGGAAAACCCTCAGCAACCCAAATGCTTTGTCCACCTTATTCACCTCACATGAGACCTTTGAAAATGCACAGTTTCTCTCTTCAATCAGCTTCCCAGCAGGCTCAGGTCCTGTGGGGCCTCAACCTGTTTGTGTACTTGATAAAAAAAAAAAAAGCTGAAAGGTCAAAAGGAGGGGGTCCAGCAAATAGTTTCATGATGTAATCCACTGTTGTTGACCCAAGAGGGTCCCCTGCCTGGCGGGCAGCCTGCTAGAAATTTTCCCACTGTCTCTGCATACCCAGAATGCGATATCAGCCCCATTATGACTCCTTATCAACACAAGCATTCTCCCTGAGTTTCCTCAGAAGATAAAGCTCTCCTCTTGCTCCCCATATGCTAAGCACATGACAGAACCCCTCCTGACCAAGAGGTCCTGGCTCAACGGCTTTACAAAGATCCAGATAGTAGCCTTTGGATATTTTGCCAGAAGATCTGCCCTACTTCCCCTCAATTCACCTCAGACCACAGAAAATCTAGTTCCAGAGAGGACCACTGTAGTTGCTCAATTCTTTCTAGGAAGACTTATCTGCTTTAAGGAAGGGGCTGTCTGTTCTGGTGAGGCCCACCACCTGAGGCCCCGCAGCCTAACCATGCAGGATACCATGTCCCACCCCCCAAACTGCCAAGCACAGGCTTCCTTTGCAGCCCACTCACAGCCACACCATTATCACGTGCTCTCCAGGTTATATGTGGCAAGATAAGGTTGCTTGGACCATCAGAGACAATATGGTCAAGGACAATTAAGTCTGAGGGGGTGCCCCAGGGGGGTGATGGGACTTCAGATTATACCTCCAGGATGATAATTGCATCATTTCCAACATGGAATGCTGTCCACCTTTGCTATAGACTAATGAGCTCTGAGTTTGGTTTCAATGTCCCCAGCTTACCCCTTATTTGTCAATATGAATTTCCCATCATACATTATTGATGGGAAATTCAGGCCAGTTTTTAGAAGTTTTATTCCCACTGGCTTTTTTTTTTTTTTTTTAAATATTTATTTCCTTTAGTTTTCGGCAGACACAACATCTTTGTTTGTATGTGGTGCTGAGGATTGAACCCGGGCCGCACACATGCCAGGTGAGCGCGCTACCGCTTGAGCCACATCCCCAGCCCCTTCCCACTGGCTCTTATCATTGAAAATGCATGAGTCCAGCTGGGCACTGTGGCGGATGCCCATAATTCCAGCAGCTCAGGAGGCTGAGGCAGGAGGATAGCGAGTTCAAAGCCAGCCTAAGCAATGATGAGGGGCTAAGCAACTCAGCAAGACCCTGTCTCTAAATAAAATACAAAATAGGGCTGGGGATGTGGCTCAGTGGTTGAGTGTCCTTGAGTTCAATCCCTAGTACAAAAAAAGAAAAGAAAATATATGAGTCCATCTCTCAATTCACTCCCTGGGTCCTTTCTGAGTTCTAAGTAGCACATATGAGTTTTGGGGTCTCTTTCCTGCTTGTGACTCATTATATAAACAAATATAAATAAAGCTCAAGATTCTGAAGCCCATTCTCAAAAACAGCAAAAATTCTAACTTTTTCTCCAGAGTCCCCAGCTACCAAGTTGCTGGTATTCTTATTTAAAGTCATATATTTATCTTATTGTTGCATAGACATACATTCATTTTGTTGCTTAAACTTGAATGTTAAACCAAAAAAACAACCCAATCAATAAATGGGCAAAGGAACTAAACAGACACTTCCTAGAAGAAATACGAATTATGGTCAACAAATACATGAAAAAATGTTGAACATCACTAGCAATTTGAGAAATGCAAATTAAAACTACATTGAGATTTCATCTCACTCCAGTCAGAATAGCAATTATCAAGAATACAAGTACCAATAAATGTTGGCAAGGATGTGGGCAAAATGGTACACTCATACATTGCTAGTGGGACTGCAAATTGGTGTAACAACTCTAGAAAGCAGTATGGAGATTCCTCAGAAAACTTGGAATGGAACCACCATTTGACCCAGTTTTCCCACTCCACAGCATGTACCCAAAGGACTTAAAATCAGCATACTATAGTGATGCGACCACATTAATGTTCAATTCACAATAGCTAAGCTATGGAACCAACCTAGGTGCCCTTCAACAGAGGAATAGATAAATAAAATGTGGTACATATACACAAGGGAACATTACTCAGCCATAGAGAAGAATGATATTATGGCATTTGCCTGTAAACAGATGGAACTAGAGACTATCATGCTAAGTGTAATAAGCCAATCCCAAAAAAACAAAAGCCAAATGTTCTCTCTGATATGTGGATGCTGACTCACAATGTGTATGTGTGTGTGTGTGTTTGTGTGTGTGTGTGTGTGTGTAGAGGTTCACTGGATTGAACAGGGGGAATGAGGGAAGGGAGGGGGTTGAGAATGGAAAAGTAGAATGAATGGGACATAACTTTCCTATGTTCATATATGAATACATGACTAGTGTAACTTCACATCATATAAAACCACAAGAAGTGGAAGTTATACTATATATATGCATGGTATGTCAAAATGCATTCTACTGTCATGTATCACTAAAATGAACAAATAAAAAAACTTGTATGTTTAAACTCCAAAGGTCTTCACTTTAAGTTCATTCAATAAATTAATCACTACATGAAAAAAATGAGGGCTGGGGCTGGGGATCAGTGGTAGAGCACTTGCCTAGCACGTGTGAGGCACTAGGTTCAATCCTCAGCACCACATAAATAAATAAATAAATAAAGGTATGGGTGTCCATCTACAACTAAAAAAATTTTTTTTTAATTTTTGATGATTATTTTCTGGCCCTAAGAGATACAGAGCTGACACTGGGAAAAGAGTTGATCTCCTAAACTGGAAGCAAACCCAGACCCTATGGAAGTTAAGGAAGGACCAAGAAAGTCACAGTTCCCAGTACAACAGAATTTACTACTGTATATTTTTATATTAATAACTTAAAAACTTGAGTAGTAGAGCATCAAAACTTTTCTTTGTCCCCAAATAAGTACAGTTGCACACTGTACTTACTTTTTTTTTTCTAAAAAATCAGACTCCTTTGCAAGAACCATGGTGGAGTTAGACTCTGTCCTGAGTCTCTGGCATGGTTTCAGGAACCAGGAGGGCAGCACCTTGCACCGTCAAGCAGCATGCCCAGGTTAATAATTGGCCTTGCCAATGACCGATCAAGCTGTTTTTGTGTGCCTGTTTTGCTATTTTACGTAAATCACCCTGAACATGTTTGTATCAACCTACTGGTGATGCACCTTTGATCAATAGATTTTAGACAAAAGTGGTTTTCAAGTCCAAAGATCAGGGCTGGGTTGGCTGCAGACTGGATATGGGGCATATAAAACTGGGGCAAAGCGCAGACTGATAGCAGAGCAATCACCACCAAGCCTGAACCAACTGCACAGGCTCTGCTGACAGCTTCCTAAGGTGCCAGGGGAATGAGGATGGAGGAAGGAATGAATGCTCTCCATGACTTTGGGATCCAGTCAACTCGCTACCTCCAGGTGAATTACCAAGACTCCCAGGACTGGTTCATCTTAGTGTCTGTGATCGCTGACCTCAGGAATGCCTTCTATGTCCTTTTCCCCATCTGGTTCCATCTTCGAGAAAGCGTGGGCATCAAACTCCTCTGGGTTGCTGTGATTGGAGACTGGCTCAACCTCGTCTTTAAGTGGTAAGGACCATGAGGAGAGATGGGCAAGGAAAGAGGCTGGCATTCTCTCTGGAAATATCTCCATCAGAGTTGCAGTCCCCATGCTACTCAGGAAGCCACATGCTTCTCCCCTCTTGACTTGGGATTATCTACACAGAGAAAGAAAACAGAGAAAATCTTGCCAGGGAGTTGGAAATACTGGAAAATCTATTTCATAGGAATTGAAGGGGTTGATGGACAGTTCAATTTAGTGAAAAGTCTGAGTTACAGACTTTAAAAAGCAAAGAAGCACAGTTTTGTTACTTCAAATCAGAATAGATAACATAAGATAGATGTTGGAAAGAAGACAGATGATGTATAGAAAAAGGAAAGAAATGATTCAGAAACTTTTTGTATGGAGTAGTGAAAAGTAATCCAGAGAACTGAGCTCCAACCCTTGTTCTGCCACCTACCAGCTATATGTCCTTAGTAAGTTCTATCAATTCTCTGAGTTTCTATTTTGTAATCTATTAACTTATATTAGCTCCAGAATCTTTTTTTAAATATTTTTTAGTTGTTGATGGATCTTTATATTATTTTATTTGTATGTGGTGCTGAGAAATGAACCCAGTGCTTCACACATGCTAGGAAAGTGCTCTACCACTGAGCTACAACCCCAGCCCCAGAATCTTTTTTAAATTTTTTTTTTAGTTGTAGATGGACACAATACCTTTATTTTATTTATTTATTTTATATGGTGCTGAGGATCAAAACCAGTGTCTTACACATGCTATGCAAGTGCTCTACCACTGAGCCACAACCCCAGCACCTAGCACTAGAATCTTAATGAATGCACATAGTTAACATTTACTAAACACTTAGTGTGTGCTGGGCCATGTGCTGTTCTGTGTGATAGTTACTACTATGTCACAGAAGAAAATACTGAGGTGCTGAGTTAACTGGATAGACAAACATGGTTAGTAAATGTCAGAGCCAGGATTGAAGATCAAAGCAGGCAATGTTCTTAAAAACTGTGTATTATCCAAAGCTGATAAACTGACTCTCAGGGGTCAGGGGGAGCCCCAATTTTAACATTTTCCAGAATTTACCAGTGAGCTACATCCGCAGCATCTAGTGATAAATCTTAAGATCTATTCCAGCTCTGATATTCTTTGGCCTCCTCAATTAAAGTCCTTTAGAGAAAAAAAAATTATTGGATTCTAGTGCCCAAGCATATTAATGAGATTCTTGAAAGCTATATTGGAAAGCTACTAAATGTTGTCTGTAACTTCCCCAATTCCGCAGCATGACCCTAAAAATTAAAAGACTAATGTTTATCCCAATACCTGACCTCACGAAACACCATGGATTCTTCCCCTATTGGTAGAGGTAAGAGTTAGTAATGAGTCCTAATTTCAGTAAGAAATCACTATTCTACTATCACTGGAAAAAGGAGGCATCCTGAGGACCTTTGACTTTTATTTCCACAGTGAAAACCATATGTGGTATTTTTAAAGGGGAAGTGTTTTGTCTGAGATATTGTGTTTCAAACCAGAGAGGATACAGAGCAACCTTACAGAGACCAATTCTGATGGGAATGGAGGCCAGGTCTTGAGTCTCATGGGAGGCTTTCCTTGAGGCTGGGGCGTGTTCTCAGATGTCAAAGGAAATGCAATACTCCCTGAGGCCTAAATAAAAAGAGGAACTCTGTAGTATAGACTCAAGTGAAAGTTGTAAACCATAGTTCTGTATGCATTCTTCCAAGACAAATTCTTCTGCGTGTTTGAAAAAAAAGAAAGAGAAATAATGTTCACATTAATTAATTGCAATTAGTGGGTTTTCAGATCTTGTGTCTATTTACTTACTTATTTGTTTTATTAAGAAGCAGTCTTGCTGTATTGCTCAGGCTATCTCTGAACTCTTGGGCTTCAGCCATGTTTCTGCCTCCTATGTACTGAGTCTATAAGCATGCCACCAGCCTCAACCTCTGGATTTATTTATGTTTGAATAGATAATATATTAAAGTGACTCAAATTTCAAGTTATCTAAAGGATGCATCATAAAAACTCTCCCCCTTTAGGCCTCTTCCCAGGTCCCCTTTCTGGAGGCAACTCACTAATGTCCTCAAACCCCTTTCTCTTCTTGAAAGTGTGGACTTTGAACTGGGCACAAACCCATAATCCCAACTACTTGGGAGACTGAGGCAGGAGGATCACAATTTCGAGACTGCCTCAATAACTTAGCAAGGCCCCATGTAACCGCCTCAATAACTTAGCAAGGCCCCATGTAACTGATACCCTGTCTCAAAAAAAGAGTGTGCCAGGCCCCTTTGTCCCCTTTGGTTAAAAGCATCCATCCAGATGCTGGCTCTGCTTTTCCACAGGATTCTCTTTGGACAGCGCCCGTACTGGTGGGTCCTGGACACCGACTACTACAGCAACACCTCTGTACCACTGATCAAGCAGTTCCCTGTCACCTGTGAGACTGGACCAGGTGAGAGTCCCAGACGCTGTAGAGACAGCAAGGGGGTAAATCTTGTTCAGCATAGATCATAGATACCTATCAGCCTCTCTTGTGGATGAAGCTGAACTTAAAGGTTCATAGGGAGAGCTATTACTTCACACTTTTGTCACAGTCTTCAAATTTGGTACAACTTCATTTTCATTCACTTCAGGAAGGCCTTCCTGAATAACATGATATTGTCACTTTAGAAATCTGTGTGATTTCTGGGATTGTAGCTCAATGGTAGAGCGCTTACCTCGAATGCGTGGGGCACTGGGTTCAATCTTTAGCATCACATAAATAAATGAAATAAAGGTATTGTGTCCATCTACAAAAAAAAAAAGAAAAAAAGAAATCTGTGTGATGTTTCCAGGACCTGAGTTACTAGTCCAAGAGAAGCACAGGCACCCCTATGGGAAAAGGGCTTGTGAGAATAACTGTGCCAGGCCCCTTTGTCCAAAGAGGGCAAAGTGTTAGAACTCCTAGTCCCTGCCTGTCTTGCCCAACAGCCTGGACCAGTGAACATATTCCCATGAGCTGATCATCCAGTCTCAACCTCACAATCTGCTTGCCTGCATTTTATTGGTTACAGACATAATTTTTTTTTTCAGTGCTAAGAATTGAACCCTAGACTTTGCACATTTTAGGAGAGCACTCTGCCACTAAGCTACACTCTACTCCAGCCCCAGACATGAATTCTTAAATCAAATGATAGGTTTCATTTTTTTTGTTTGTAGTAGGAATATCCAACCTCATCCCTCCCCTCAAAGACCCTTTCCTTGGCCCCATACTGGAAAATGACCCTGGGTTATTTGCTCTCACAGACCATGAATTCACTTTAGAGTATATTCACTCATATTCAGCTATGATTTATTGAGCACTACCATGTTCCAGACACTGTTCTAGGTGCCAGGGACACCTATGTCAGTGAACAAAACAGACACAAAGATCCCTGCCCTTATGAAGCTGAAATTTGAATGGGGGGGGGTTACAACATACAAAAATCAGAATTAAAAATTAAAGTATATAAGATATTAGAAGATGATAATTTACATGAAAAAAGAGAATAGATGGCTTAATCCATGAGATTCCCTAGAAAACTGACTCCGGTGGAGACAAACAAGCAGGAGTTTAGGGACTCTATGGAGCAACTGTTGTGGAGGGGAAGGGACAGGTCAACCTGGCAGATGGAGAATTCCAAGGATTCAGTCTCAACCAATCCCACATGGAGCTCTGAAACTGGGGGTGGCTCTTCGTTATCACCCTGAGTGGGTTAAGGGGGCCATGACTTTATGATTTGATAGAGGCCAGTTATTGGGTACAGGCTTCCCCTAGGGAGGGGGTCGATCAAGGTGACTCTCTTCAGCTCAGGGCAATGCCTATAGAAACTGAGAGCTGAGGGCCATTGGCAACCTCACAGCTGGGAAATAAGCCCTTTAGTCCAGAAGGGGATCTGGATGGCATATCTCAGGGCCTTTTATCCCTCAGAGTAGAAGAATCACGAATAGGAACTGATTATAGTGTTAAATAGAGTGACCAGAGTAGGACTCATTGAAAGGAGAGATCTGAGTCAAGACTTGAAGGATGCATTAGAATTGACCAGGAAAGTTCTAGGGGAAGAGCTGTCTAGCCAAAGGGGATAGATAACAAGGCAAAGGTTCTCATGTGGGAGCACACTTGGCCTATTAAAGGACAACAATGAGGCAAGGTGTGGCCAGAGCAGAGTGAACAAGGAACAGGTAGAAGAGAAGCGGCAGGAAGATCAGTGTGTAGTTGCACATCTGGTGTGCTGATCTTGGGTAATCTCCAGATGTACATAACGTACATAACAACAAAAAGGGACCTTCTCTGGAGAGTCTTGCACGATGCTAGGCACATAGTAGGAGCTCAACAGATATTGTTAAATGAACAAGTTATAGATAAATGAATGGATGGTTGAATGAATGGATAGATGGGTAGATGAATGGAAGGAGGGATGGGAAATAATATTCAGATGATTGGGTAGATGATGCTCTCTGGCAGTCTCTCAGATGGAGATCTTTTCATCGATAGTATATTTGTCTCTTTCCTGCCCTTTAGGAAGTCCTTCTGGCCATGCCATGGGTACAGCCGGTGTATACTATGTGATGGTCACATCTACCCTCTCTATCTTTCGCGGAAAGGAAAAGCCAACATACAGATTTCGGTAAGAACTCACTATCCAGGCATGAGTGGTGGAAAGCAGGAAGTGGCTCTCTCTGTGTCTGAGACACCATTTATTTTTCCTCACATTCCCCAAAGCCCATTCTCACACTATGCATTGGCACTGATAAAAGTTGTGGCACTTCTGCTAAGGGTGAACACCAGAGTCACAGAATGTTAGGAATGGAAGGAACCCACTAGTGCAACCTTTGCTTTACAGACAAGCATACAAAGCCTAACATGAGGGGCTTCTAAAGATCAGGTTGTGGAGTCGGGCATGGTGGCACATGCCTGTAATCCCAGCAGCTCAAGAGGCTGAGGCAGGAGGATCACCTTAAGCAATTTAGTGAGACCCTGTCTCAAAAAAAAAGGGCTGGAGATGTGGTTCAGTGGTTAAGTGCCCTTGGGTTCAATCCCTTAGCCCATCCGCCCCGCTCCCTCCAAAAAAAAAAAGATCAGTGGGGCTGAAGTATAACTCAGGGGTATAGTAAGTGCAAGGCCCGGGGTTTGATCACCAGCACCCAAAAAAATCAAGTAATGACTTAGGAGCAGGGATTAATTAAAAATCCATTTCTGTACCAACCATAGAGTTGTCCCATCAGGGTTAAAACAGACATAAAACAGTTAAACTGTTCAAATCCTTAGTTATGAAACAAATACAATTGGGTGGTTAAAATTCATTCAAGCAGTTTCATCTCTTACTACAGACATCTTTGTGCCTTTGAGAAGGGGCTGCAACTTACAAAAATTCCACTGATGGAATTTGCCAGGCTCTACCATTTCCTCTGGGATTGTTTTCTTTACTGCAGTATCCACTTCTGGGTTCTGTTATGGCTCCCTCTTCCATTGCAGGTGCTTGAACGTCATTTTGTGGTTGGGATTCTGGGCTGTGCAACTGAATGTCTGTCTGTCACGAATCTACCTTGCTGCTCATTTCCCCCACCAGGTTGTTGCGGGAGTCTTATCAGGTATCAGCTGTTCCAACTTCCTCCTTCCCTTCTACCCATTCCATCCTTAATTCCCTAATCAGTTCAAAATCTCAGCATTGCATCCATGTTCTGAGAAGTCCTGTTAATATTTCAGTAGTTTGAAAGTCAAGAGTGACTAGCCTGGTATGGTGGAGTTTGCCTGTAATCCCAGCTTAGAGGAGACTGAGACAGGAGGGTTAAGAGTTCAAAGCCAGCCTCAGCAATGGTGAGGCACTAAGCAACTCAGTGAGACCCTGTCTCTAAATAAAATACAAAATAGGGCTGGGGATGTGGCTCAATGGTCAAGAGCCCCTGAGTTCAATCCCCAGTACAAATATATATATATAAAGTTTTGGGGGCATAGATCAGTGATAGAGCATCCCCAAGTTTAATCTCCAGTTTGGGGGTAGGTGGAGGGGAAGAAAGGAAGAAAATCCAGGGTGACTATTTGAAATAAAAATTAATTTCTATAGTACTCCCACATCTACACAAGTGTGTTTCAGAAAAGGTGTAATACATCAAGTTAACCCACCCAATTTAATTAGCTTGAAATTTCCAAGCTCATTACATTCTTTATTTCCTATTGAGCTTCAATTGGAAATGGGATTCTATCAAATTTAGCAAATAAATCCGTTTTCCTAGGCTAGCTCTTTATTTAAATACATTCCTTTGCAAACCCTAACAGATAGATATGTGCAGCTGATCTCTTACAGGTTCAGGGTTTTGTATTCCTGCATTTTTCTTAGATCTAATTAATAAGGGGTAAAAAAAAATTTAGGGGAGTTGTAAGGAAGAATTTCTTGATTTCTGTGGATGGAATTAGAACATAAGATCTTAAGGAAATTGTGGGATTTTCCCCAAGAGCAGAATATAGTAGCCAAAAACATATTGAGGAGGAACATAATGGTTTCATAGTAATCAAAAAAGCAACATAGCAGTTAGTAGTGGGTCCCATGTCTGGGGAAGAATCTGGAAGCCATGTTACATGAAAAATCTGGGCACTGGGGATGTAGCTCAGTGGTTGAACACTTGCCTTGCATATGCAAGGCCCTGGTACCCCATTCAATCCCCAGTACCATGAATAGACGAGACAAGATCTGGGAATGTTTAGGTTAGAGAGGGAAATCTTCAAATGTGTGACAGAGGGACTAAATTCATAACTTACTAATTCCTGTGGAAAGAATTGAGACCAACAGGTGGTATTAGAGGGAGACAGATGTCAGCTGAGCACAAGGAAGAACTATGGCAATCAAATCCATTCAAAACCAAAATGGGTTGTTTTAGTAGGAGTGAGTTCTCCACCATGAGAGTATTCCAGGAGTACGCTCTGATCTGAAATCCATGATTTAATTCCACAATGCCAGGATGGATGGCATGCTACCCATTGCTTCAGATCCACCCCTAGAGAAAGTCCAGAATCTTCTCCATTTCTCACAGTCATTCTTTGTCCTGTTCAGGCATTGCTGTTGCTGAAACTTTCCACCACATCCGGAGCATCTACAATGCCAGTCTCAAGAAATATTTTCTCATTACCTTCTTCCTGTTCAGCTTCGCCATTGGATTTTACTTGGTGCTAAAGGGGCTGGGGGTGGACCTCCTGTGGACTCTGGAGAAAGCCAAGAGATGGTGTGAGAGGCCAGAATGGGTCCATATTGACACTACGCCCTTTGCCAGCCTGCTCAAGAACCTGGGGACCCTCTTTGGCCTGGGCCTGGCTCTCAACTCCAGCATGTATAGGGAGAGCTGCAGGGGGAGTCTCAGCAAGTGGCTCCCTTTCCGCCTCAGCTGCATCATGACCTCCCTCATCCTCCTGCATCTCTTTGACTCTCTGAAACCCCCATCCCAAATTGAGCTGATCTTCTATGTATTGTCCTTCTGCAAGAGTATGACAGTGCCCTTGGCCTCTGTCAGTCTCATTCCCTACTGCATCACGCGCATCCTGGGCCAATCACACAAGAAGTCTTTGTAAAGCATGTGGCGGAGTCTTCAGTATTTAAATTCAGTGACTGTGCCAAGGGCCTAGACCAAGGAACTAAGGTCTTCTCCCAGCCCATTTTGAGGTTGGAGGTGTTAAATTCAGCTCAGGTGACCTTCCCCCTTTTTCAATCTTGATTGTATTGGATGGTGTTTTTTGAAAAGCTAATGAGGCCATGTGAGAAAGCCTTGACCATTAGAAGTTGGGTAGTTCTGGATTTTTCCCTGAAGACCTACTTATCTGTTCTTCTGTCAGAGATACAGAAGCAAGACTTCCAGTAGGGAAGCTCACAAATCCCGGCCAAAATCCCAACTGAGAATTTTCTACCTGTGCTCATCCCTCCCATGAAAAGGAGAAAGGATTACATAGATTTGATAAAGGAAAGGGGATGAGTCAAGGAGGATTTCTTAGTATCTCACATATTGTGCAAACTACATGCCAATCAATGTCTAAATGGCTTCAAATATGTTTGAATCTTTTTAGATATGGCACTCTCAATAATGGTAGACCAACTCAAAGTATACTTAATAGGTGATTAGTGGAATAACTGCTTTGGGTATTTTTTTTACTTTAGATACATGATATTTGTATTGACTTGGATTTCTAAATGACTGCAGTGACTGAGGTATTCTACAAAGCCACAACATTCAAGCAGAGTTGATTTTCTTTGATCACATTACATCTTCTTCCTTATTAGCTTAGCTTTACTTTCCCCAAAATTTCCCCCTGGCTCCCCATCTACCCTGCTGGATCCTCAGATGCCTAAAGGGTGACTCTTTGGTAGCACTTTTGTATGTCGAAGTTAAGCTCTGAAATCTTGGGCAAAAAAAAATGGCAGGGAAAGGGCCAGGATTCCTCTCTCCAAAAGGTCACTCCGATGTTACTTTTGATTCATGGAGAGTAAATATGACTCCTTTCTACATTCCAAGTCAACCAAGAGCACTTTCTTAGAGGAAAAGTCAAATCCTTCATGCCTGTTCTCCAGTCTCAGCTGATTTGCAGGGTGTGCCCTCAAAAACAAACAAAAAAATCCTGAAGCCTATTTATTTGAGACTCCTTGTTTTTGCTACTAATTTAGGATACCATATGTTATCATTCACGCCAACCATCCTGCTCTTTACATATTTAAAACAAAAAATATGTATGTGCAGTATTTTATTAAAGTGACATTTTATTTAAGAATGAAGTCTTCTTGAAGCTGGGTGGGGTGGCCTACACTTATAATCCCAACTACTCAGGAGGCTGAAGCAGGAGGATCGTGAGTTCAAGGCCAGCCTGGGCAATTTAGCAAGCCCGTGTCTCAAAATGAAAAGGGCTGGGGATGTGGCTCAGTGGTAGACATACCCTGGGTTCAATCCCCAGTAATGCAAAAAAAAAAAAAAACCAAAAAGTCTTATTGATTACTGTATTTTAAATACAATGTGATCCAAAGGGTCTAATTCTGACCCAGTTAAATTTGTAGCTCTTTCTTTGTTTCCTAATCAAATAATTCGGTTTCTTTGTGCCTATGCTTTCACTTTAGAGAAAGAAGATGCTCTGTCTTGAGTTGACCAAGACTTCCAGCAGGGATAGGGGGACTTACAAGGCAAACACAGGTAGAGTTGATCCCATCAGCATAGGCATAATATTGGCACAGATCAGTTACTGAGCTCAGGCCCAATCTGCTGGTCACACAATGGAAGCCAATTCGTGGAGAGGCAAGACCATGGTAGAGAAAGAACTTTATTACAATTAGCTAGCTAATCAGAGGATGCCAGCCTAAAGGTCCATTGTCCCAGGAAGCTGATTTAGGGGTGGTTTATATAAGAGATGGTTTATATAAGAGATGACTTCAGACTAGTAGGTGCCTTCTCACAGGTGGAAGTTTGTGGCTAAATAATGCACATTGAATTGCCTAGTTATAAGAAATCTCAAGAAAAATAATCATTATTTCCTCAGGCTATTCTTGTCACTGGTTAGTTTGCCCACATGCAGTTCCTGACATATTACTCAATGGATAAGCTAGATGTTGTAACTGGATGCTTCCCTAAGATCTTCTTGCTGATCACCAAATTTATGGTAATGAATAAGAGCATACTTCACCCAATTATTGTAGAAGACAAAGGTCAGGCAAGGTTAAATAGGGAGTGGAGCAGGAGATCTGATCTCCATGCTTGGCTTCAGAACCAGAAAGATGATGTTGGTCAAGGCTTAACCCCAGTTCCCAGACTGCAGGTCAGTGTGAGTTTCTCTATAAGATTAAATTGTAACTTGAAGGCACATAGGCAAGGACACTACCAAACTGAGCAATCAGAGCATGCAAATCATAGAGCAGAACAAGACTGGGAACACTCTAGAATCCAGTAACCCAGGATCAGCAAGGTTTAGGGTTATAGACAAAGTCCAAACAAAACAAGTCATAGCACCAAGGGATGCTCAAGTTTTTCTGCTAAGCAATTTATTTCATCCTGGGTGCAGAGTCCTATCTCAGAGGCCTCTACTGATCTCCATAACCTTGGATCACCTGAGAATGAGATTGGCTAACTTAACCCCAGAACATCAGAATGTGCATATTCAGGGAAGATTGAGTCCTACTATTTGATGTGGGTTCTTCAGTGGCAGGGACTAGGCCCACAGAGACACTACCAGGGAGAAAGGAAATAGTCTCCATTTGTGTGAATTGCAACCCACAACTGGGGCATGGCCCACCCTTGAAGTTCCAATTGCTCTCATGGACCAAATCCGGGCTCCTTGCAAGAAGATTCTGGCAGAAAGTGAATAGTACCTCTTGCCTTGGCAGTTTGTGAGGTTAAGAACACATAATATCATAGAATTAGTGTGTACTTACTATGTGCCAGGTTCTGTTCTATGTGCCTTATTTCTACAATTAATTCTTAACATCTCTGTGAGGTGGTTACTATCATTTGTCCTCATATTATGAGGCACAGAGGGATTCGGTATCTTGTCCAGAATGGTGGGGGCAATTCTAGAATCAGGCAGTCTGATTCCAGAGTCCATGCTCTGCCCTCCACCTCTTCTGGTTCCTCATGGATGCCAGTAAGACTCACAGCTGTTTAAATCCCCTTTAAATACCAGATTCATATAACCCATTTTTTAATTTCTTTCCTTTCTTCCTTCATTTTCTCCTCCTCCTCTTCCCCCTCCTCCTCCTTTCCTTTCTTTTCTTCCTTCCTTCCTTCCTTTCCTTTCCTTTTCCTTCCTTCCTTCCTTCCTTCCTTCCTTCCTTCCTTCCTTCCTTCCTTCCTT